TAAAACCAGATGGCGCAAAGTTCACATACCTTGTTCTTGGGGGGTGGGGAGCCTTTTATAACCACCTCGCGCACTCACTTCTAAGCTTCTGTCATATCGGGTATGATTATCTCTGAGCTCCTGCCAGTTCGGATGTCATCCCCTCTGCTGGACAGAACCGCCACTGCTCTCTTTGTCAGAGTCGTCTCTGCGGTTGACGATGACGGTGGTAGGTGGCCGTTGAAGTGCGGCTGTCAAGCGTCAGATCCCAAGTCAGTCAGGTGCGCCGCCCTTGGATACGGACCTCCTCGGTGTCAGGTATGGTACGTTTGTTCAGTTTGGTGTCCTGGAGGCAAAGTGCTGGAGTGGTGAGCGAGGTGAAGCCTTGAGTTCGGATAGGGGAGTGTCTCGAACTGCCATGGGACGGGCCAGTTCGGGTTGTTGCCTTGTGTGAGGCTCGGGGCCTAAGGGAGATTTTGGGCTCCTCGTAGGGAGTTCGGGCCCCTAGTAGGGAGTTCGGGCTGCTGGTAGGGAGTTTGGACTGCTGGTTCCTCCCTTCGGTGCTTGTGCTTGGGGCGTGCTGTTGTGCTGAGCTGTTGCCTTTGCCACGTGTTGAGTGATTACGAGGTCCGGCCAAATCTTCCTTCATCAACATTCACATACACAATTATACAAGGAAAATTCTCAGAAACCATAGAATATACAGTAACGTTTGGGAAACACCATATACAACATCTGTTCAGATTTCACAATGTGTGAAGTGGAAAATATTAGAAGGCAACAGTCCTAATCAATAAAAGGAATGTTTACTAATGGTTGAAATCTAAGTATAGCTTGTTCTAATGGTCCTAACTCCTAATTGTCCAAATAAAAGGAGACCTTTTCTTGTTTCCTGGAGTGAAGTTCAAATATATAATGCATATTATAGTATGAAAATTAGGAATTCCATTTGCAAATATAATCAATTGGTGGTTCAGGGCCCATTTTATTTCTCTTCCCATTCAGGAGTGAGTTGTGGTACAGGGCTGGTAAGGAGTTTCCGCAAACAAGGGTTCATTCTTGATCCTTCAAAACATCCTGCCTTTGTCATTATGCTAGTGCCTATGGAATGAGTTGGGTCCATGTACCTTTTAAATTCCAGTGAAGGTAATAATAGGCAAAATAGAGAGACATATTGTGTGTTGGATATCCAATTAGAAAGAAACCCAAGGCTCAAATGGTGATCATTTTTGGAACCAATGAGGTCTGGTTATTGGACTTTGGGAGTTCAGATAGGAAGCATAGTTTTCAAGGCGCCAAGGCGAGGCTAGGTGATAGGGGGGTGCCTTGTCGCCTAGTTGCCTAGGCAATGGATTTTTTCAAGTAAAAATCACATATCCTAGGGTAGTTCCCTAGGTTCCATAACCAACATTCTTTAATAATATCCATAATTTTCATAAGAAAATTATAAACTTCATGTTTAAGTCTAGAAAATCAACATATTTATGAGAAGAAAACGAAGGAAGGAAAGAAAATTCAAAAAATATAGGGGCTGAACCCCTATTTTGAGTGCTTCCCTTATTTATTGGTTCGGATTTTTAAGTCGTAGAGGACTCAATACAGTAGTTAGCAATGTTTGTGTTGATTAAACCCTAACAAATAAGAAAATAATAAAAAGAAATTAGTTTATAAACACAAAAAATGATTGTTTTTCTTTAATAATGTCTATTTTATAATTATAATCTCAAAAAGAATTACAATATAAAAGTATTTAATTACGCAGTATGCAAAACTGCTCGGCAACTGGACGAGGCGAGCCTCCAAGGGCACCTTGTCGCCTAGGCGTCGCCTTGACAACTATGAGAGGAAAGGTGAAAGTACTGAGAATAATCCTATTTTATTGGATTCCTCCTCCTATTAATTACTTTAAGGTAATCTGAGTGTTAGTGGGAGAGGATGAGCTATTCATGATTCTGCAAAGAGGTTTCTTGCTGCTTCTCTCATAGCTATGGAGTTTGCTTAAATATGAAGGCTGAGACAAAGTCTTTTACTGGAAGACCTTGTTTTAGCCAAGAAAATGGGTTATGGTAGCATTGTTGACATTTCAGACTCCAAGGCTTTGGTGGATATCATGAAGGGCATTGTTAAAAAAACCTTGGAAGCTTTGGTACTTATTACATCTGGTTGATGAGATTAAGAGGATACTTTGACATTGTTTGTACTTATACAGAAGGGAACAAGGTTACTGTTTCTTTGGCTTAATAAAGCATATGACACCAAGGAGAATTCTGATTATTATAACAGGTCTGATTTACCTATGAATATACAATAGCTATATTAAGGAATGATACTTATCTATCAAAAAAGGTATGATACTTTTGGGTTTGCCTTTAGATGTAATGATGGATAGCTTTTCTTTGTCTCTTTGATGATCTTCAGGCTTTTTCTGTACTTTATATGAATTGAAGATCATTTTGTATTGATTTTCATAGGCTGTCTTGAGAGGTTAATAAAATTTTTCAGTGGCCGCCCTCCATCAAGATAATGTTTGGGGATTAAGAAAATGAGGTCCGGTTATTTTTTATTGTTCATTTGATGTGTAATTTCCTGTACATTTATTTTTCTACATGTTTTTCTTTTCATTTATCAACCATGTTAAGCCCTTGAATATGTTATACTCTTGGGTGGCAAGTCATAAATTGTTTAAAGGAAGAAACAACTTTTTTTTGTTCAATTTGGAAAATCATTTTGTATACTCATAATAAATATATATACTAATAAATATTAAATTAAATTGATGTATACACATTCACATTTTTGTTTTTTTGTTTTTCTCACATTTTATTTATTCCATCATTTTTCAACAGTTACTAATTGTATCCCGATATCTCACATTATATAAACCATTAAATTATGGATTTTTACATTTAAATGACTTATTTACAATCATTAAAACTCGTAATTATTGTTAGTAATATAATTTTTAGGATATATTTGAATTTCCTTATATATTTATGTGTACCTTATTTTTTGTTTGTATCTATGCGTATCAAAAGTGTATCTCGATACATCTCTTAAAATTGCCTTTCCGATACACCTTGTGTTTCCAATATTTTGGACCTTGATATAGTTTGCTTGGTATACATGTACAGTTGTATATTCTTTATGTACAGTGTCTCAATGTACAGGGGCTTCTCTTTGTATCTTTTTGGATTCTGAATTCAGTACTTAACAGTTTAAAAAAAAAAGAGTCCTTGCATGTGATCCTGGGCCTATGCGTTTTTTTGAAAGAGTGTTTTCTGTGTTTTGAAAGCGGTGTTAAAATAAATTCTGCATGATATGTTATTTTCCTTGTAAAGTATTAAAAAAGTAGTAAAGAACTAGAAAAGACCTTACTGTTGCAATGGCATTAATGATCTAGTTCCACTGCCATAATCACCATCTATATTTTATTTTTCAAAACCATAGAACAGAAGAGTGTGTCTGTGTGTGACTTACCACTCATTTTCCCTCCCYCCCTCCCCCCCCCCTCTCTCTCTCTCTCTTCCAGCTCGGGCAAAACATAAGGAGAGAAAAGAAAGGAAACAGGCAAATGACATACTTCCATTGCAGGTCCAATTCCATGTTCCTGAGACTGTGCTTAATGGCTGTCCGTGGTGATCCAGCCCATGGCTTAGTCTGTGGCTTCAACTGTGGCCTTGATGGCTCCAATCATCTTCCCAGCCCATGGCTTTGTCAATATTTTGTTATTGTAAATTGTGTTGAATTTTAGTTATGTGATTATGGACCAGTTCCTAATCTCCGCCATTGTAGTCCAATGGGTGCATTTGATTGCCAAGTATGATTTCCAAAGGTAGATTCTGTTTATTGTGTTGGTAAGTTTCCATATGGCCTACCTCTTATACACTCATTTCCTAAATCACAGGCAAGATCTGAAGGCTTAAAATTTTATTGTTTTATGGATAAATCTCTGTTCCTTTTCTTCTAATTCATGCAGGTAGAAGTAGCTAAGCATTTGGATGTTTAATGAATTGGACCTGGTCGTGTGCTGCACTTTTGCTTATTTGAGCTCCTTATTTTAGATAAAAATGCAAATAGGCAAATTTATTTTGGTCCTTGTGTCTATATTTTCCCTCCTTCCTAGTAAAAGCTAAGGTGCAGTTGTCTGGTTTTCATAGTGACAGTTCGGTCCATATGTTACCTCTTTCAATGGTCTGGTTGAAACCAGAGTTTGTGTCCCATTACAAACTTGCATATCAATGAACTTCCACATTTGTATTACAAGAAGTTTGAGGGCACAATTGCCAATTTTCCACATCATAATCAGTTTCCGTTGTCTTATCAATTTATTTCTTTCCATAAATAAGCAAAAACTATTCTAATCATAGATCATATCATTGTGGATTTGTAGTTTTGTACCAATGTTCTGAAAGGCATCCAAGGCGCTTATTCATTGACGCTTGCCTCAAGGCAAATGCCCGAGGGTCATGCATAAAGTATAATGCACATAAGCCAATCTTTGAGGTGCTTTATGTCAAACATGTGCTTCATTCATTAATCGAAGTAGGGTTCTCATCACAAGAGGGAATTAAAGACAAATTCCAAGATTACCTGGTGTGTTAATTTTTTATTTGTATGTATAGGATTTTCAACACTCAATTGGGGTTTTGATTTTTCATTAAACTGTCTAAAAGGATTCCTAAGAAAGCTAATTACTACTTTTGAATCTTTGTTTATGTGACAAGTAATTCATCTCTGCATTTTTTTTTCTTTACATAAAACTGTCCTTTTTTCACAGTTCTATACTTCTCTTATTTTAATCCATGTTTTTCTTTTTCCTTGAAATAATGATACCTAATGAGGCTTAAGCATCATTCTTGAGGCTTGAACCTCAAATATTAGATGTAATTGTACCTCAATAGTGAGCTATTCAGCTACCCATCAAAAAGAAGAGTTTGCTGTTCAGCTTCATAACTATCTTCTTTCTACCATTTTTGAATGCAACCTAATGTCAATACTAATGAACTGTTCCTCTGGTGCAGATTACTGTTTATTTGCCCTCAGAGCCCAGCAGTGTTATTTATGAAATGTGACATTATTCTGGATTAAAGCAGAGAAAGATGGATATGCAAAATGTCAAGCTGTCAGGAGAGATTTTCTGTATGGCAGCACAACCTCAGTACAGCATACCACATTGTATTTTGGAGGAGGTTGGTCGTCAATGCCATTATTTAGTCTATATTCATAAACATGGTAAGTCAGCGTACCTGGCTATTGAAGTCACTGCTTTGATTATTCTTCAAGGTTTCCCTAAACCTACAGTTTTTCTGGAAGACCCATTGGTAACATTTAGATCAGTAGTTTTTTTGGAGTGGGGTGGGGTGAGATGATTTAAGAAATACATCAATCACATTTAACTTCCCAAAAAAGTCCATAATTAAGGAGATTCAATCCTGGGAAGAGGCCACCAGGTGTCATAAGAAACATAATAGAAATGTTATCAGGCATATAACTAGATGAATTCAAAGAGAGATTTTGTCAATTCATTGATCCCCAACAATTTGTCTGATTTTTTCTGCCTTTACCAAGATGTGGCACCAAGTTTCTCAAATTAGAATGCAATTGGCAATGGATTATAGCTGAGGATTGTTATAGAGGACATCAATGGACAGTTGAGCAAGAAAGCAGAATTCTTGCATCTAAGACAGCTGATCACTCCTGGTCACACTGCTTTGTTGAACTTCTGTCTGGAGATACAGAAGTGGCACGTACAAAAATGGTTTAGATTCAGCTGATCTTAGGATCCCATGATTTAGAATCACAAGCTACAGAAGTGGTTCCAGAGTTTGAGTTTTTACCCTTAGAAACTTCTCTTGAAATTTGTTTTTCTTGACTACTTTTATCTATTCATGGAAAGCAATATCAAGTTAAGATGGCTACTACTCAGCGGCCATTGCTTGATGCAGTGGTAAAATCTTGGGCTGACAAGCTGGTAAGACTTGGAACCCAGACTTGATTCAGAGTTTGTTGCCAAGCTGGTAAGCTTGTGTTTGTAAGGATGTTTTGCTCTATAAAGTGAGTTTTCTCCCCTTTTAATTCTTGAGTGAGGAAGAGGTTGGTAATTGCAAAGATGTGTAGGTCGAGTTCCAACAGAAAATACTTATTGAAGTTTGACTATATTGAGAATCTACTTTGTAGGTTATTGTTGCCTCTAGGTGGTAGTTCCAACAGAAAATGCTTCTCTGTTTTACAGGGCAAAGAAGTCATTGTTGCCTCTAGGTGATAGTTCTCTATGTTGATGTGCTAAAGTAAAATGAAACTAAGAATGACTGACAAGACTCAATAGGGGTGTCAATCGACTGGTTTTGGATTGGATCCAATCCGATTCAAATCTTATTAGATTGGTCAATCCAAAATAAATTGGTCCATGTTCTTATTGGTCTGAATTGGACTTAAACCAAAATTTCAATAATCCAATCATGAGGCCAAACCCTTGTCTAATTTGAAACCAATCAAAACTGAAGCCAATATGAAATCACTTTTATGAAAGTATTTTTATGAAAACACTTTCACAAAAGCACTTTTATAAAAGTAATTTTATGAAAAGTAATTTTACAAAAGCACTTTTATAAAAATATTTTTATAAAAGTATTTTTATGAACACTTTTACAGAAGTAGTTTTATAAAATATTATAAAAACACTTTTACAAATGTATTTTTATTAAAGCACTTTTATAAAAGTGCTTTTACACAAGCATTTTTATGAAATCATTTTTACAAAATTACTTTTATGAAAGCACTTTTATGGAAGTACTTTTATAAAAGCACTTTTATGAAAGTACTTTTACAAAAGCATTTTTATAAAAATACTTCTATGAAAGTACTTTTATAAAAACATTTCTATGAAAGTACTTTTATAAAATCACTTCTACAGAAGTACTTGTACGAAAATGCTTTGATAAAAGCACTTATGCAAAAGTGTTTTTTCAATGTCGAAAGGGTATATTTTTGTAATTTTCATATTTTTTTTTCATTTTAATATATCTTTATAAATTTTTATATGTTTTTTTATATAGTTTTTGATATTTCATTCAGTTTGGATTGGATCCAATCCAATCCATTTGCATTTTAATGGATTTTGGACCAAATCCATTCCAATTGACACCACTACTTGTCAAACGGTTTTTTCTCTTTAAAGACAAGACCCCAAAGCTATATTCTAATGATGCTTGCAATGTGAATCATGGAAAACCCCAAAGATATATTCTAATGATGTTTGCAATGTGAATCATGGAAAACCCCAAAGCTATATTCTAATGATGCTTGCAATGTGAATCATGGAAAATTGACAAAAAAGTATTTTGGTCATCTGAAGCAATTTTATGTAATAAGCATGTAGTCATGGGTGTTTATCAATTCTCCAGTTTGTTTGATCGATCATACCCGTCTGATTTGCGATCCAAACCATATTTACAGTATATATGGTTGATCCGCGTTTAACACATTACGTAATTTACATTTATCCTTTTGTTTTTTGATAAATCGCATTACGTTTATCTATTAGCTCAAAGAATAGATTTGGAAATACAGATTCAATTATGGAAGGTCATCACTCATCAGGTTCATTGATACGGATTTCATTTGAGAGGGAGGGGTTCATTGATACTAAAGCCCATCTTTACTAATAAAATCTGTCAAGTTTGTTCCATAACTTTGGTTATCTCTAACTTAACAATTAATATGTCAATCTATCGGATGGAGGCAAATGATTCTTTTTGTTTTTCTCTTCTCTCTCTGTTTCCTTTCTCCCTTTTCCTATTTTACAGGAAACTTAATTAATGGAATGCTGTGAGTTCATCAATATCAAGATCTATTTTCTAATTGCAAAGCCTTGTATTTTATATTTCTAAACTTGTAATTGGACAGTACGTGTAGTCCTTCCAAATTGAGCTTAATGAAATTAATGCTGATAAGGGGAAAATATATAAATGCAACGCATTTAAGGGTAAAAATATATTAGTAGCCATGTTCTTCTTGGGTTGTAGTTGGGCACCAGTTCAAACCCATAGTAGACTCTCATCATATGGTTAGGTTAACGGGCCTCGTATGGTTAGGCTAATTTGTACTACCTAATACGAAAAGAAACCGCCCACCCCACATAAAAGATAATATCAAGTCATGTTGGAGTTATGGGACTATGGTTAGGGGTGCCAATTGGATTGGATTTGATCCAATCCAATCCCATATAATGAGTCCATTACAAATGGACTAGGTCTAATCCATACTGATGAATATTTCAAACCATTTTGGACTGGTTTATTGACATCTATATTCTTATTTTCTATCAATGGATCAGATATTAGTTCAATTTGACCTAATCCAATATAAATCCATTATGGATATACCAGGTTAATCCAATCCAATAAATACTTTGGACCATCAAGTCTGAACTGGTCTAATTCAATGTCTTATTGGTCCATCCAATCTGTCCAAATTGATTTTGATTTGGACAGAATCTAACCCAAAACCGGTCCATTGATACCCCTAACTATAGCCAACCAGGGTAAGGTTGACCCTAAACCATTAATTGGGGCTGATCTCAACTTCCACAACTCTACATGTTATCACTGTTGTGTTTGGTCAATGACCCTAAACCATTTATGACCACGGAGGGGAAAAAGGAAGGGTAAATTGCTACCCTGTAGTTGTACTTAGGGGTTGGTAACCAAGGTTTTTAAAATCAGACCAGACAGGGAACCCAGTCCCTTCTGGGTCCGGTTCTCAGATCAAAAGGTCTGACTGTCTGGTCCTAATGGATGGCCTATTCCGACAGAAAAATAAAAAATTGAAAAGAATTAAAAAACAGCCAAAAATAATTGTCCGGGTCGATGGTTCAACCACCCAGGTTAACGGTTTGCTAATTTTGAAAACCATGGTGGTAATACTTAACGTTCCCCCCCCCCGGAACTTTGTTGTGACAATACCCCCTGAATATCTTAGATTTCAGCACTTTTCCCCAATTGGTTAATGAATTGGTGGTAAAAATAAATTTACTAAATTTCTCATTTGAAATTCTATGGACCAACAGCAATAAATATCAAAATGATGAAAATAACTATTTTAAAGAATAAACTGTTCTCACATTTTTAAGATGAATTTTCCTGAGAAAAAAGTTGAGAGAAACATTTAAGAATTGGGGTTCAAAGGGGGGGGGGGCTTTTGTTGCATAAGTTCAAATGGCTGTGTCAATGTTGAATATCCTCTGAGTACGGGGTGGTTGTATATAACTAAAGCAAAAAGAAATGCTGAAAATGAATCGATTCCAGTGAAATAGATGATGGCTCACATTCCATACTTCCATATTATGCAGTCTTTCACAAGGTACCCTCAAATTAGTGTTGCATTATATTATCCACGTTAGAACGATAGGAATAAAAAGGAACAAGAGGGCTCTCAAAGTTGGTCACTTGCAATAATGAGGCAAGGAGCCTAGAGGGAATACAAAAAGTAAAATGTGGTTATAAGTTATAACTCTGAAATAGAGCATAGACATTTGAAGATCAGTAAAATTGAGAAGAGTTAATCCTTGAAATTAAAGTTAAGACCTCATTTCCTACAGAAACTAGTTAATCTAACATTTATGTATGGTTCTTGCTGAAATTCTACCCAGATAAGGTGTTTCTGAGTTCCCAATTCTGTTAGGTAGCTAAGATTTTTGATAGGGACTGCTCAATCTCATCCATGCCAGGCCGACTGGCTGGATTCTTCCTTATGCAGTTCTGAGCCAATCTGACCATGAGCAGAGCAAGGTCAAATGGATAGTTGGCTTGCAGAGATGGATCTACGAACCCTTTTAACTTTTCCTCTGCGTTGTCTTCATCGAGCATGGCTAGTAAAGCATCCGGTAAGAGCACATCTTCTCCTCCACACAAAACAATGGCCTCTTTACCGGTAATTATCTCCAGCATCAAGACCCCAAATGCATAAACATCGAGCTTCGGTGAGATCAAACCATTCTCCAAATACTCAGGTGCCATGTAACCTTTTGTTCCAACGATGTGCCTTGTCAAAGCAAATTCACCTTCCTCCCCTTGAGTCGACCTTGCTAGACCAAAATTTGCAATCTTGGCTCTGAAATCGCTATCAAGAAGAACATTGCTGCTCCTTATATCCTTGTGAACATGGGGAGGACTGGTAAAACTGTGGAGGTAGTTAAGCCCCGTAGCCACATCCAAAGCAATTCGAACCCTCTGTGTCCAGCTCAAAACCTTCTGTCCACTTTTGTTGCTATAGATCCAGTCACACAGAGGTCCATTCATGGCATACTCGTACACAAGATACCAATTCCCCTCACTAAAACAAACACCCGAGAGCCTGATAAGATTGAAATGGTTGATCTTGTTGAGTAAACTTATTTCCTTCGAGACGTCCCCGTTCATCTTCTTGATGGCGGCCAAGTCCCCATTAATTGTACCACGATAAACAGAACCCTTGATCCAACAATTGGAATTGAAGTTCTCGGTTGCAGATTGTAGTTCTCCATATTTATAAACTTTAAGGGACTGAGCAATCTCAGATATACTTTTAAGAAACTCCTCAGATTCTTCCTCCGACTTACTTTTGAGAGGTTTCTCGAATGAATCGATGACAATAACAGAATCAATTGGGCGCCTCGGACTTCTTCTTCGTAAGACAACATAATAAACAACGGCCAAGACAGTAATAAGCACAAATAAACTGGCTGCAACTCCAACAGCCACGTAAACCCATGTTTTCTTGGAGCCTTTACCCGATGGAGGGGGAGGAGGCGGTGATGGTGGTGGCGGTGGAGATGGCGTCAAGGTTTGAGAAGCAGATGGTGGATTCTTTAAAGGAACAAGAAGAGTTGTAAATGGATAAATGTTGAAGTCTGATTCAGAAAGCCCATTGGCTGCAAGGGTGTTACCGGTGTCCACACCAAACCTCTCACTTATCGTAGAAACATCTTCACCAGACTGGACCGTGTAACTCAACAGATACTTAACGCCTTCATCACTTTGGTTCTTGGTGGGACAAGCACACCTAAGAGGAACAGTAATACTTGTTCCGGATTGTAAGTTGGTGGCAGATATGTTGGTCTGAGTTTGGAGAGCTTGACAGGTGGAGAGACCTTGGTAGGTGTTGTTTGCAATTCTGAAGAAAGTGTCACCGAGTAGAACAACATAAGATGAATTTGCCTGGTAATACTCACCTGAGCAAGAGCAGTTGACAGGAACAATCACCATCTTGTTTGTGTCAAAAGTTGCATCCTCGGAAACTGAATTAATTTGAGAAAGCTGAGATGTGTCAGAGGCCAAAAGACTAGAGATGGAAGAAACATTGTTGTATGGGGGTCGAGATCTGAAGATGAGGTAGGCTTGGCATGTTCGGTTTAGGCCGTTGCAAGTGTAGCCAAGTACAGAGGTTGAATTATCAGCGGTTCCGCAATCCGTGCTGGCCTTTCTCTCGTAAGGCTGCTGAGCTAGAATCAGAGTGGAGGAAGAAATCAGAGTGAAGATGCAGAGAGAAATTAGGGGCTGGAAACCCATTTTGGATATAATGAGAAGTATGGATCGTCGTTGTGACCTGTGGATGGTTTTTAAACGTTAAAATAAAGGCTGATCCATCAATAAAAGTCTTTGTTGTCTTCTCAGCAATCAACCGGGCTGGTTGGTATTCGATAAAAACCGTCTTATAATTAATGTTTCAAAGATGAAGGTTGAATGAAAACGGTTCCTTCTACCAAAGTTCTAACGGAACATCAAATAATATAATTCTGACTTTCTGAGGATTGTTAATGTTGGGTTGGCTTTCTCTGCTGCAGTGGCTGGAGTCCTGGAAGGCGATGACTTTTCTTTTTATATTTTATTTGGTTACGCGTAAAATGTAGAGAGATGAATTAAATATTCAGTGTTCTGATTGAATGTGTCAAACTGCCAAAAATAACCATCAATTTAGTAAAAACCTCTTCTCTGTGCTGCTTTTGTAAAATTGAGAATGAATCTATTCTATGCATCTTTATTTTTTCCTTTTGTTAGAGTAATTTGGTTTGCTTCTCCGGTGGAAAGCTTAGAATTAGGTATTGGATATTATTTTCTCTACATTTACTGCCCTTTGACAAGCAGATGAGGTTCTGATGTGGTTTGCTTATGATTATGTATCATTAGGAACGATCTTTTTTTATTTTTAGAAATAAATCCTCCACTTCTCAAAAAGCTTTTCCCTATGAAAGAAACTGAACTTCACTGCTCAAATTTCTCTTTCTCATTCAAGCAAATTTTCACTGCTCAAATTTCTCTTTCTTGGACGGCTGGACATGTACTTTTCTCTTATTCATCCTATTACAATTATAATTCATGATTGTCCTCGATTTTTTTTTTCTTTTAAGGCTGATTGTCCTAAATTCATATCCTCTACTAGGAGTTCAGATAGTGGGGCACCCCACAACGTGCATAGTACATTCCCACCGTGTATGTATTGGGAACATCTCCTGATGATGACATTATTATTTCTAGTACTATCCTAGAAAGATGTTTGTCATATACAGCGGAAAGTGTGCTATAGGACTTTGTGGGGCACAGATGTGAACTCCTCTCTATTAATAGTATGCGGAGATGAATAATCTAAGACCCTGTAATAATAAAATAGTTAAGCTCTCGTAAAATCCCTCGAGTCTGAAAAAGTAATAAAGAGAATTTGGTATCATGAAGAATTCCCACAAAGCATACACTAGTATTAGCCCTAATTTCAGAAGAAACGAGTAAAAGCAAACTAACCAAAATAAGAAAAACAAAGACTATTAGTTAGGGGTGGTTGAAACCAAATAACCGAATCAAAATTTCTGTTTCGATATTTTAGATTCAGTTATTTTGGTTAAACGGTTTGATTTTGGTTTTAATGACGGTTTTATTAACTTTAGATTTTGGTTTCAGTTGTGGTATTTAGAGGTTCGGTTAGGGTATTTCAGTAATTATATAGGTGATTACATATTTACATTACCCTAGCGTGTCAAAACTCAAAACCCTTCATCCTTCACTGTTCATTTAGCATGTGTTTGGAATTGTGAGCATTTATCAAATAAACATTGTCACATAAGCGTCACTTCAACATTTCTCCCATCGGTTTATGTATTATTTGGGGAACCTTCATTTTAGCACTTTCTCCGATGAATAGGCATTTATTCATTGTTTTGCTGATATAGACTCTAATGATGCCTACGTGTCAATAATTGTCTACGGTTCCAAACACATACCTTAATCACTCGACATTCTACTCCGAATAGCAAAACCCTCTGGCCTCTGTAACTTTGCTTTGTTGAGACTAAAACTAAATTGATACTCAGTAATCCGACCATCGGGCATTGGCCAGTGATATTCCCGTCTGGCGGACTATTAGCAAGTAGGAAACTCCGGCACCGGCAAATGATACTCCGACGAGATTTGCAATTCAGGTATAATTTTTTTTTTCTTTTTCCCCTTTTTATTCCTCTATTATCCGTTCTTCCCTATAAATTTTTTTTGACTCTCTTAGAGCCTGAGTGAAGTCTCGATTCCAATAATTTGGTCTCCAATTCTTCAGTTCATTTTTTCCCCTTTGTTACATATTCGGCACTTAAGTTTTCAAATGAAATTACAAGCTTTAATGACCAGTTCTGCTTCATCTTCTGCAACGCGGCATTGCAGGTCTTGATCAAAGAAAGGTGAAACCGAAAACAATTTGGACAGATAAGTTTTGTGTCACTCTTACGAGGACTGGATTTTCGGTTTTAACCGAATCAACTGAAATAACTAAAAAAATTGGTTCGGTTTGATGGGTTTTGGAAAAGATCAGTTTCGGTTCAGTTTTGCAAATTGTTATATTGGTTTTTAAAGGTGAATCGATTACAATTTTATAAAATTACCTAAATCATAAAATAATTAAAATTTTAAAATGAATGTAATAAGACTTAAATCCATGACCTCTTATTTTTATGTATTGATTAATTAATATTAATCTATTTTTTTATTTGTGTTTATTAATGACTATTTATTAAAAATTGAAAAACTTGTTATCTATCATCATATTGTAAAATATACTACATATAATATTTATATGGTTCGTAGTATATATACACATATGTCTTCATGGTTCAACTCTACTTGAACCTTTCTCTCCCTCTTTTGATTTTATGCCCAATTTAATTCTCTAAACATTGATCAAAACTGGAATGTACCCAAATCCGCCCTCTTAAATAAATAAATAAAATAATTTTAAACCAATATAATTAGCCCATCATCCATAATTTCATATGGCGGGCCATGCCATCTCGATTAGTAATTAGTAATTAGTAAATAGTAATGGATGAGAAAATTGCAGCGAGCATATGTCCACAATTCAGGTGGAGACGGTTTGGACTTTGGTATTGCTGAGCAAAGTGAAGCAAAATTTCTCCATATGGTTCAAAAGAGAAGTAGTATACTTCTACCATAAATGATTTGTCAATGTGCCGTGGAGAAGAGGGTGGATTCTCAACTTTGCCGAACCACATTCACATATCCTTTTCGTGGCCCGGTTCCGGGTCAAAGGCTCAAAGCTATTGCTTTTTTTTTATTATTATTATTATTGTTGGCCCAACAGAAAGCAATTTTATGACCACCATGCACATTGACGTTACGGCATCTTGATTGGTGAATAGACGTTAACATATTCCATAAATTTTTAAGTTTTTGGCTGCATTAAGCTGACCCGACTTGATCTCTTTCTTGCGCATTTCACATTATTGAATAACTCATCCTATAACATCTACTTTTCTTGAAATTTCTCTTAACCTATTTTCCCATCTAAAACATCTTTTTTTTTATTCTATCTCACATTGAGAGGGGATTTGGTCCCAAAACGTCTTTTGCAGTCATACATCGGATGCATTTCACCATCAAGGATAAAGGAAATGCCTCGTTTGGGACATTTGTTGGGACCGTGTATTGGAATTAGATCTGAACTCTTTTGTTAATAAAAATTAATAATTGATTATAAAATTTTTATTATAATTAAAAATAAACAATTATAACAAATAAAGGTTGTAACTCCAATCCATTTAAATTCTATTTAGAAATCGCAAAAAGAATAATATAAATTAAGTAATAAAGTTGAACTTAGTAATAGTAAATAAATTTAGTTTTATTATTAAAAATTTATTAATTTTGTTTATTATTACATTTTCACCTTTCTTTCTCTTTGTGTCATTGAGGGGTCTCTCGTTTTCCCATTCTCTCCTCCTCTTTCTCTTCTATTAATTATTTTTAATAAATGTATAAATAAATTCCTCAATAAATCTGTATTTAGGCTGAGTGCCAAGGATTAATTACAAGACAAAAAGATCTAAATACCCCCAGCTATTTCCACTAATGTATGAGTTACAGATTAAAATTATGAAAATGCCCCCATCATCTATTCCCACTTGCAGTTATTGAGATTCTGAAAACCAGTTCCTTCACGTCGGTGGTTTTTGGTTTCCTTCAAATCACCGGCCTTCTCCGCACCATATTCTGCCGTTCCCTTGGCAGCTTCTCCCGCCTTGCCTACACCATACTTTGCCGTTTCCTTCAAATCTCCGTCCTTGCCGCACTATAGTATGCCGTTCCGTTGGCAGCTTCTCCGGTCATGCCTGCACCGCACTTTGCCGCTTTCTTCAAATCTCCGTCGTTTCTTTAGCCTCCCTCCCGGACTTCGCGTGTTCGTTCTCGTAGTGGTGATCCTCTTCACTTACATTACTGCTTCTGCAGGAGGCAATCAGCACAAGAACCAACACCAAAACAACTGACACGTAACAATGGAAAGGCCGAGCCATCTCCAGATGTAATCAAGTTGATCCTTCTCCGACGTGAGAATTCAGAAAACTGAAAAATTAATGCAGAGATTCTGTGAATGAATTATCCAAATAGACACAGTGTGGAGTCGATTAGATGAAGGAAAACGTTGAGTTTTGGCTTTACTTTTATAGTAAAGATGATTGAGGATGCAGAGGACAGGTGGATTGCTACCTGGCGCACTAAGAGCAGCAGTTTCTGAGACGAGGGCGACAAATGTCTCTCCCGAGCAGTCCAGCAGCCCACTTGATTGGCAGAAATAATTTTCGAAACTGCAACAATACCCACCACAATATCATTCGTCATTGATTTGTTCATTGTGCAGGGATGAAACTAGGCATAATTTCTTCTTAGTCCCCAACCCCAAGCCGATGATTATGTTTTCAAACCGGCTCTGGCTTGAATCTGGACCCTCTCCCGGGCTCAGCCCTCCCTCATCTCCTCGTCTTGTCTATCTAATCCTAAACATGTTAGAATTGGGTTCAAGTCGGGATAAATTCTCAACATACTATTACCGTATCAGTTGGTTCAACCCTCGCAGAGCCGACACCAGCCCTGCCCATTTCAGTAAACTTCCAAAGAAACTCAGATGGGTACAGTCAGAGTGTATAACAAACAGTGAGACAGAGTGAACTCTGGAGTCTGGAGCAGAGATTAAGAAGTGAAGGGGAGGAGGGGTGAGGAGTCAAAGAATAAAGAAACAAAACAGAAGAACCAACCTGAGCGGGGGCACCGGGAGGGAGCATAGACGAGAGAACCTCCCTGACCACTTGTTGCTTGCTGTTGCTTACGAGACCTTCCTTGCATTACACTCCTTGAGACGTTTACAAAGCTCTCGTAGTCGTAATCCCAAAAGCCATTGCTTTTGCTTTGATTGGAAGAGGAAGAGGAAGCGAATTTCTCCATCTTGCGGGCGAACAGGGCCATAAATGCCTTCTCCAAGAATCCATCTCTATATTGCGTC